TTATTTTTCCAATTATTTAGCCGAAAAAAGTAAGTTCTTTTGGGTCAGGTGCAGTCAAAACACGGCGCACTCCCCAGGAGTGTGTATCACACTTTGAAAACACTGCCATAAATGAACAGACTAGTTATTATAATCCTGCAGTCATTTCTTGAATAAATAAAGTGCATGGTACATCATCTTTTTCATTTTTTACATGTTCAGATTTTCGGATAATATAGCAGTATTGACATTTAGCAAGAAGGCGCTAGTAAGTGAATGCGATAGCGACTCATAAATTTTTTAAAATATTTGGAGTACATACCACAAATGGTGAAGTTTTTCATTTAATCTTGAATTTTTGATTAAATGATTAAGTTATGGAAACGGTACGAGAGATCTTATTTGTAAAGCAATAAATTCTTTTCAACATATGTATTTGCATTGCCATTTCGATACGTTGTATCTAATAACACGCAATCTTGGCTCGCTTGGGTTTTGAATACATGAGACTTCTTGTTCCATGCCGTTAGTTTAATTAATTTCAATTCGTTACATTATCACTATGGCATACTACTTACATTGACTTTGAATTTGATCTTAAGAGAATCTTATGAGTCCGGAGATGCTTCTGAATACGTAATCACGACCACTGTTTTATTTGAATAAATCATTCCTTTAGCATTTTGGATAGTAAAATGACTGAAGACGACTGGAACTCTTTTGTCTAAAAGTCGCCCTGCATTACTGTTACCATCTAGTTATTTCCAAGTATAAGAGAAATCATCATCATAAGGCCCTAAGACTGGTTGGACACGCACCTCCACTCGTTCCTATCCTGCGCTAATCTTCGCACTTCCTTAAAGCTAGAACAACTCATATCCTTAAATATATGCGAACAGTAATCTAATCTAGGTCTACCTCTACCCCTTCTAACTTCCGTTTTTGCCTCTAATATGTCTCTTCATGCCTGAGAAAGTGTCCTACTAACCTAACTCGCCTATTTCTTTTTGACTTAGAGTCCTCTGTTCTCTTACTCTTTCTAATATCTCTTCATTTCTAACCTTCTCTATCCACGGTATCCTCATCAGTCGCTTGTAACACCACAATTTCAAACGTTTCTAACCTTTTTTTTCCGCCGCGCCCACTGTCCATGTTTCGCACCCGTACATCGCCATGCTCCAAACATACACCTTTAACAGTCTTTTTCGAATTTCTAAATTAACCGTTCGCGAGAATAGAAGTGACTTCTTTTTATTAAAGGTGACACGACCCAGTGCTATTATCTGCTGCATATCCCTACTACTCCTTCCGTCCTGACTTATCTGACTTCCTAGATACCTAAAATCGGCCACTTCTACTAATTTTTCGTATCTTACCTTTATATTCGCACTTTCTCTACTTTTCCTTCCCTTGCATACCAGTATTTTTGTTTTACTTTTATTTATTTTCATCCAGTACTACTTTGTCAATACCGCTTCCATTTTATTTAAAGCTATCTCTAACTCCTCCTTGCTAGATGCTAATACTGTTATATCATCTGCAAATCTTAAGCATACCAATGTTTTGCCCATGTATATTTATCCCTACAGTTGTACTGTCTTTAATGATGTTGATCGCGTCTTCGTGTATAGATTAAAAAGTAGTGGTGACAGTGTGCATCCCTGTTTTACACTATAAGAGAAAGCTTATCCGAAAATAATCTTTAGCAAGAAATTTCAACTATTTGTAATTATTTTGCTTTGACAGTTTTACATTATAAATATATTACAAAATTTTACAGATGTTTGTTTTCTCCTGATTTACCCATTAATCACAATTGGTGATACAAATCATAATACTAACAATACTTAGAATCAAAAGAAACAGCAAAGATCACTTTTCCGTAAAACGTAGAATTCTATGTGTTTTTTAATGTGCCTAATACACGAGGTCTGCGAATATCATTTATTTTGAGGAACGTATACTGAACCATAAAAACATAAAATTAATACATTCAAATATATTAAATTGAATGTTCATAGGAAATAAATTTAATATGACTATAAAAAACGTTAATAAATTATCTATTATTATTATTATTATTATTCAATTAGTCACTGATCAAAATTATATTTTATAAAAAAATGGCGAATGCGTCCGACACAAAATATATTTACGGCGGGAACAATAACTGATTTATTGCTGGACGTGTACGAAATAAATTAGTGGAATAGAGGGAAATAATTAAGATAAAACAATTGAACAATGTAATTAATGACGTGAAATGTAACATTATTATTTATTCGAAACAGTTTTATTAATAAACGAAAATAACCAATACAGACCATCTGAAATGATCAGCTATAATCGAGAAATATAATGTTTATAGTAAACTTGATTCTATTCAAATCAGCCACGTTCAATTGAATGCGCCCATTTTCAGCTTTTTTAAGATTTCAAACTGGAAGCTGTTAGTTTTTTGAAAAGGACTTTGTATTTTTCCCTTCCCAGTTGTCGTCTACCCTTTCTGAAGATTAAAAAGGCTCTTCCGCTCTACCCTGTGGCTTCTCCCTAGAGTGTGGATTGGAAGGACCAACATTCAATAGAAAACACAAATGTCTTTTTTGTTTGGTGATCAAGATCATTGTTTAGCCTAACGATATCGGTTCAATTCCGAGTACTTTTGTCCTGGTCCCAATTTTTCTTGAATCCGTTTAGGCAAGTCCTGGGGAAGAGTAATATTCTAAAGACTTTTTTATTTCAATCCTTTAGCGTCCTTATCATGTCTATCTCTCCTTTCTATCACCAATTACCATCATCGACCCATTCTCACGATTCCTAAAGAGTCTTCGACCTTATTAATCCATCACAGTACTGGACGGTAGGACGCCATGCCCATCAATGTTCGCTGATGGAAATAAAGCGAATTTTGCAGATTCCTAACCACTAGCACTCTTCACTCAATTCTTTAAGGAGACTGAAACGGGACATACGCTCTACCAATTTGCATCACATTGTTGGTTAGTGAAACAGCACACTCACCAGTATCAGCTAGTGGGAATGAAGTATTTTGAAGCTTTTTTAAACGATTATCGATACCCTCCTTTTATAAAGTCAAAAGATGTTGTCTCGAAACTTTTGCAAGTGTATGATAGCAGATTTCGACTGGATTCGAAATGATCCAAGAGAAATGTAACGGAATAAAGTTTATGTTGCACTGACTGGGGTTTCCTAACGTAACGAATTCTAGACAGTAGCAGACGCGCTGCTATGTAAATGAGCGACGAGCTGCCTTATTAAAACAGCCCGGAGGCATGGGACGGTTAGCCAAAAATTAAGAAACTTTTGGCCAACCGTCGGATTTATGAACGACAACACCTGGTCCGTAAGATGCCAGCCAACTGTTCGTGAAATGAAATGCAAATGCAACTCAATTGGTCGTCGCGCGGGATCCCACGGAGGCGCGAACGGCAAGTGCTGAACATATTTCACTTCCGAAACACAATTTTCAACCTAACTTCATATTTACGGACCCTGTTACCTTCCAACCACACGTTCATCGGGGTCGAAATTAAAATTCCGAATGAATTATAGCGTAAGGTGCATTTAATACCTTTACGATTCACAAAAGCATATTTATATTAATTAAATGAAAAAATCAGTTTATTCTTTGACTTATGTCTTTTGTAGGCTAAGGTATTTTAAATCTATCGCTGTGGCGATCCGCGTGGTATTCTATTTATTTATTACATTAATTGTACAACTGTTTAGTCCTAGTTGTAAATGTTGGTTGTTATATTTAGTACTTTTATCTATACATTTGTTGAGTTAGCTTTGTTTGTTAATTAATATGTACTTTTCCAAAAAAGAAATTCCATTTGCTTTAAGTACGTCTTTGTTAACTACCTTCAAGAAAGCCTGACAACTTAGAGCGAAACGTTGGCGGCTGTCTTTTCAAAAATAAATAACTCAACTCTTTTTGGTTTTTATTTTACACCGATTATAAACAGGGGAAGCATGAAGGATAGAATGAAGACAATAATTAGGTACAATAGATATACGAGGGCTAGTCCCTTTGTTCAGACCCTGACCTATTAACAATAACAAATTTACAAATATTTTACATTTATTTTTTAATATAGGTTGACACAAATCTACTCGCGGCTGGAAATCAGTTTGCACCCGCTGCAAATGAAGTACGCAGCAACACTTTATTTTACTACTTGAACGAAGCCATTTGATGATATTTTGCGTGTATTACTTAGGGGGTTGTTTTCTATGAAATCAAGAAATAAAAATATTAAATAGTCTGTGTGATTAGGCAGTCTCGAGTAAGTCTGCTTCCCGGTTTACATCCTCCTTTCTTCCCTTCTGAATAACTCCGTATATCGATAATCCCAGATACCAAAAAAAAAAAACTTTTGGGTGTTTCATTCCCACCAGCCACTAATTCTGGTGGCGGGCAGTTCTTCCGGACTACACTGGAACTACTGACCTAGTACAAATGACTCATACTGCTAATTATCAGTTGTCTGATTTATCAGTTGAATCTGTACTTAAGTATTTTATATATTGTTACATCTACGTAAAAATATCCAATTTATTCGTTTTGTTAAATTTTTGCATTGCAATGTTTGAAAACACCGCTGTAAAAGCTTTTAAACTATAAACCAAGTTGAAGTGGTTAACAGAATACAAAACGTTTTTCGTTTGAATGGTGCCATATTAAGCAATTCCAGCTAGGCGTGGACAAGGGCCACTTGGTGGTAGTTTTATTGCTTTATACAAAATGATTTCTATAGGTACTTTATAGTAATGTTATGCGGAGATGCTTTTAATATATTCAAAACGAAAATTAGCCTCAATTTAAAATTTTCCGAGAATGAATATTCAATGACCTTATTCAGATGTTAAAAATAAAATGTATTTGAAAAATAATGCCTCATAATAGTACAGAAGAGAGCCGTACGGTAGGAAAACATAGATAAAAGTTGTGACATTTATTTTTATAAAATTACTTGTCAAATAAAAAAAAAAACGTTTTATACATTTACATATGTGTTTTGACTTGTACTCTTTTGACAATTGTTTTAATTTAATTTAATCTTATTAAAAATAATGTCTTCATTAACTGTAGTGTCTAGAAAGCTGAAGTTGCTGAAACACTTAAAATACTTAATATATGTCGATACAAAATTTTATGCATCAGATTCAAAAACTCCTATGTACAAAGTGTTTAATATCTACAGATGGAATCCCGAATATCCGGAGAAGGAACCCTTTATGCAAGATTACACAATCGACCTAAATGATTGCTCACCTATGGTACTAGACGCACTGATAAAAATTAAGAATGAACAGGATCCAACGCTGACATTTAGGAGATCGTGTCGAGAAGGTATTTGTGGATCATGTTCCATGAACATGGACGGCGTGAATGGCTTGGCATGCATTAAAGGCATAGATCGTGATATTTCAAAGCCTTGTAAAATATACCCCTTACCTCATATGTATGTCATCAAGGATTTAGTCGTAGATATGAACAACTTTTACAGGTTAGAAATTCCAACAAAGACAATAATGCTTTGCTCTAAATATTTTCTTGGAGATTATTTAGAAAGTTGCTATTTTGAGGTTAGATTTACTAATTTATTATAGACGTGAATATTAAGCCATTTTCACGTGTCCTATCTTTCCTTATTTCCTTTAACAATCTCTCTTCTATGTCATTTAGTAGATGCAATGCACCAGCAATGTGATTATCTGAAGTGGGTAAAATTAATTCAAAAAATTAATTCGCTAATACATTGAATTAACCCTACAAAAATTCAAAAAGTGTCACCCATCAGCTAACATTCGTGGGTGAGTTGTGTGTCTTGGAAGGCCGGAAGGCCCTCTTCATATTCATTTTAGGAATCGTGGGTATGGTGGAGATTAGAGAGAGAAAGACGAGACGGACGGTATTTGACTACATAGATCCAAACAAATTATAAAAATGTTTGGGAGGAGTACTTGGAATCAAAGTAAATGTTCCCCCAAATGCTAACCAATAATTTTGACTACCAGATTAAAAAAGCAACTTGTGTGTTTCGTTCCCATCACCTACTAATGCTGGTGGACGGCCAGTTCTTTCAACCTACACACTGCAAAACAGTAGGGTGGAATGCTTCAGGAAAATGGAGACAGAAGAGAATCCAAAGATTAAACTACCCATGGGATATTATTGCTTTAGTACATCGCCCGGTGTGTAAGGAGAGCAAATGGTGGTCAGATTGATAGGTACACAGCCGAAAACGTTTAGCACTGCAATAAGTGGAAGAGCCAATAATATTGCGGGACCAAAGCGGTACAGCGTCATTATTCTGACAAGTTTGCAGTTCAGTGGCGCGTAGTGAACAGAATTTAGAATACAATACAAATCACAACTTCTCTTCCCTGTTAATTTGCAACTATTTACAACTATGCTCCTGACCTTAGCACCGAGCGGCATGGCCTAGAGGTTTAGGTCATTGCTTAGCATTCGGGAGGACGCCGGTTCGATTCCGGGTCCGTCTGCCTTGGTCCAAGTTTTTCTGTGGTTTCCTTGGATCACTTAGGCAAATGCTGAGGCAGTAATATTCTACAGATAATCTTTCATTTTCTTCTGTCTTCATTTCGCCCGTCTCATCTTTCTCACCTGAACCTCGACCCACCTATTCTCACGATTCCTGAAAGCAAGCTGAAAAGGGCCTTCCGCCCTACCTTCCGGCGTAGTCCGGAGGGACAGCATTACTGGTGTATTTAACAATTTTCCAGTTTCATTTATTTAATAGGAAATCCGAATGTGCAGGTTGTAGTGAAGAATTTAATGATGCATTGCATTTGGTTGATTTCTCACAACATTATTTGGGTTTGAATTTTATTAAATAAGGAAAAGCTAATTGTTTTACTTATTTTTGTAGGCAATACAATAGTATAGAACCATGGCTTAAACAAAAAAAACCAGTCACCCTCGGGAAAGAGCAATTCTTACAGAGCATAAAGGATCGAGACAAACTGGATGGTCTTTACGAGTGCATATTGTGTGCATGTTGTTCGACATCATGCCCGAGTTATTGGTGGAATTCGGACAAGTTTTTGGGACCAGCCGCGATCATGCAATCCTACAGGTGGATTATCGATAGCAGGGACGATTTTGCTAAAGAAAGATTGAAAAAGTTAAAAGACGCACATTCGGTCTTCAGATGCCATAGTATTTTAAATTGTACAAATTGTTGTCCGAAGGAACTAAATCCAGCTAAAGCGATTGCTTTGACGCGGAAGCTCGTCGCCGGCGTATCCAAGAAGCCCAAGTCCCAAATGAAAGTTACTGGACTCCACAAATAACAGTCCCTTATTGTATAGTTATAAAATTAAACAAAATTTTTTATCAACACCTGTACTTTTAAACAAAAATATACGTACCTATATTTGTAGAGTAAATAAAAGAACAAATACCTGAAAATCTTGGCCGATTTCCTTCTACCTTTTTTCTTATTGTTCACATAAGCCATTAAAGATAGTCGATTTTATACTTACTTTATTATTGTTTTATTAGGTCAATATTTTTGAATTCGTGAAGAGAGACAATGCTGATTTATTTTTATAATTTTTAATGTATGTTAAGTATGTACGCCAGCTTCATCTCTTTCAGAAAACATTTTCTTTACTGTCGGAAAGGAAATTACAATTGATAGTAGAGGATAAAAGTTTGAGCACTTCGAGCGATAATGGAGTTTTATGGTTTTTAGTTGACGGAAATAGTTTCGAAAGCTCAGTTCGTAGTGTTAGGACGTCATCGAAATTATCTGTTACCAGCTAGTTTTTTCGTTTATTTTCAAAGAAATATTCCTGAAGTCATAAAATCTTTTCACTCATAAATATGCCATCAGAGTATTGGCTACTCTAATTAAGATTAGTCAAATAAAAAACAACGACCTTTTGGCTGGTTCAAAAAAAATCTTTTGTACAAAAATAGGAAGCTTTTAAATACGTAATGTGATAAATAACGTAGTTGTAGGTTAGAGATTGATTGAATCTTCGAATTTATTATTTGTCATCGTTATACCATAAGTAGTTTTGAAACATTATTGGCCAAATAAAGTTCCTCCGTAAACGTAAATTGAATAAAATGAAGTTATTGACAATATATCAGCATCTAGTGGCATCTATTGCTGAAATGTAAAGTCTTTCATATGCTTGAGGGGATCCTTATGATGGTAACTGCTTCTAAAACTAAATCTAAGCTTCTAAGCACCAAAAGCAAACTAATTTAATGTTCTGATGAGAACTAATAAGTTCGATATCGCGATCCAAAATTGGTAATTTTGAGATTCATATTTATCATTAATTTTATTATAATAATAATTTAAAAACTGGGAGTTTTAAGCACAATAAAAGTGTTTCCTTTTGAATCATTCTAGTCGGAGTTGGACACGAGATTTCAATGTCAACGCCAAGCAGGATATGAATAAATTTTACGGTAATACGTTCAGATAAAATAGGCCGAGGGGTTGACTTTCAAGCAGGCGGACAAATCATGAGCCCTTTTTTTTTGAATACGTCCTCGATTTAGTAAGTAATAAGAAATTTATAGAAATGATAATTTCTATACACTTAATTGAATTTCTGTAGGGCGAAGATGTGAATTAGAATAAAAGGGGTGACGGACAAAGGTGAAGAAAACAAAAATTATTGCAAAAGAATGTCACTTGAGATATGAGCAAATTAAGGGCAGATCAGATATCCGATTAACAATTTTTCCTCACTCTCCATTGTTTAGGTCAAAGAATAAATGCATTCTCAATAAAAAATATTACTTGTGTTTCAAATTACCTAGAGGTAAAGATCTTATCCAAGATTGCCAATTGATCTTCTCTTTGAAAGTAAATAATGAGAATCACTTATCCATAACCTTCAACCCATTTGTTTTAAAGCATGTGCCTATCATTCGGGAATTTAATTATGTACATGTAGGTCTACATTTCTGAAAATTCCTGAGCACCATATCGATGACTTAATTAAAAGAAATTAGGTAGTTTCACTCTCTGTACCTCCACTCTGTTCCTATTGGGCTGTCTGCCTGCCTATAAACGTAATCTCCCTTCCCTATTGCCCAAACTTGTTACCGTCAAATTTGTTCATACTCGTGCTTAACTCTATGATCATTTCAACGCTAATGTAGTTTTTGTTACTCTCTGGAAAAGCATTATGACAATTTAGTATTAAACATCAACGAGTGTTAAGGAAGAACACACTTAAAAAAACAAAAAATTAGGTATCGAAACATAGTTTAACTTACTGTCGAGCCATATGGAGTCATACTTAAGGGTCCTCTTGAAGCTATACTCTCTTTTCCCGGTGGTGAGATTGTGCAAATCGGTTCGGAAAATAACAGTGTCAGCTTTAGTGAATTCGGCATTTGTTCCTGAATAAAGTCCTGGTAAATCGCCCGGGTTTCCTTTTTCGACCCAAACGGCGGTCGAATTGTCGGTCGGATCGTAGGGACACTTGGCAATGCCCATTCCTATACCAGGAACAAACGTGTTCCGGCCTAGATGAGTTAAATTACTCTGAAACAACAAAATGAAATACAAATATCCTTAAGTACCTTATAGAATGATTAAAAATACATCTTCGTGCTAAATTGTACACTATCTAATAGCGTAAGTATATAAGTCACTTTTATGCTCGCGAATGGTTAATTTAGAAATTCAAAGAAGGTTGTTAAAGGTGTATGTTTGGAGCGGGGCGCTATACGGATGCGAAAGATGGACGGTGGGCGCGAAACATGGACGGAAAAGAAAAGGTTAAAAGCATTGGAAATGTGGTGTTACCGACGAGTGATGAGGATACCGTGAATGGAAATGATTAGAAAAGAAGAGATATTAGAAAGAATAGGAGAACAGAGGACTATGGATGTTAATAAGAAATAGGCGAGATAGGTTGGAAGGACAACTCAGACAAGAAGGTTCAGTCAGGGAGATAATAGAAACAGAAACGGGAGTTAGGAGGGGTAGAGGTACACCTAGATTAGATTACTGTTCGCAAATAATTAGGGATGTAGATTGTTCTAGTTTTAGGGAAATGCGAAGATTAGTTCAGGATAGGAAAGAGCAGAGGTGTGTGTCTAACTAGTCTTAGGACTGACGACCTTATGATGATGACATGGAAGTGAGCTAAAGGCTATTATTTTGTGCTGTATCTTAATACTATGCTACTGTTTTAAAACAACCCAACTACTTTTGGATGCATCCTTACTCTACCTTCAGCAAGGTTTTCTCTACTCATTGGATTATAACTTATAACATAATTAAAAAAACAAATCATTTAAAATTATAGGATGAATTTTTACTTCCGTCTAGTTCTGAAACTGCGTTCAAAAGTTTATTATTAATTATAATTGTAATAAAGGCATAACGACCGTCTACGTCATTTACCGTCGTTCGTACAGAACAGAATAGTATGAAAGTTATTTTCTTTCAGTAATCTCGCGTTGTGTCTGTACTCGAAATGACGTCATGCGCTGTACGAGACCTATTCTGGTCGGCAGCGTAGGACGGCATGAGTCTAACTGGCCTTGTGCAACGTAAAGGCAAGACAACACACGGGCAGGTACAATAAATATGTCAGTCAGTTGAACAAGTAGACTCAATGGCTTTCTCGCAGTAACTATAAATATTTAAGGACATCGAAAATGATGCTATAATTTTAACAGTCGTCAGGCGTTTTTGACGTGACAACGTTTTATAATTCGGTGGAGCCGGCTGCACGCACGGAAAAAACATGACTCATGCGTCGTTACCTCGCTCTGAGGCGTTCCATTTAAGGCTTGAAGTGGAAGCGAGAGCGCGGAACGAGCGACAAAGAGGCACAATCGGCCTCCGCGTTCGGCAGCGTTCGACATCTGTCTCTCTCCTACTTGAGTGAGCGATGCGTCCGCGTGGACAGCTGCTATACAATAATACATTTCCATTTACCTCCTTCTCTATATCCATACAAAATATCTATCAAACAAATAAAATTAAAATTTTCTTTTGAAAAATGAAACCATTCCATCAGTATTTTCTTATGACGTTGTCACGTTCAACTATCGTCAGTAAACCGACTTTACAGACAACCGATTTTTTGATTAAAACTTTTAGTGAAAGTTCTTCTGTCTTCAGCATTATTTTAAAATATGAGACGACAGTGTGAAGGAGAATTACCACTGTACCTGCTTAGTTTTTATTTTGAAACTTTATAATAACTGGTACATTTTTGTAAAAGGCTACAGGATTTGTATGAGGTTAGGTTAGCGAGCTGAATCCTTGCAGCAGTGCAATTTATAAGCTTCATAAAAGTGTCATTGTTTCTACAAATTTACTTGGCTTCATGGAACAAATGAAATATATACCTTGGAGCAGATTAACAACTTGTTACAGGGCATTGTTCTTCTAATTTACCTAATTATAAATTACTGCCTCAGATTTTCGTTGTAGGACGTAAGCAGACTTTCAAGCGCCATTTAACTGCGACAAAGAGGTGAATAGGTGGCAGTGTGCTTTTGCTCATGTTAATTTAATTCGCCTTAAACTTTTAATTGAATTCGCAATGTCACATAATGGAAATGAAGTGAAAAGAATATTAATAAAGTTGGTAGGTATATGCAAAAAAAATTAAAACTAAAAATTAATTTTTAAGTTTACTTCAATTTGAAATACCAGTATTAGTTTTACGTATTAAAAATTTATAAGCTACTTAAAAAAGAAAACATATATACATTGCCTAAGCCCGACGTTCCACAGAGTACCTACCAGATTGAAATAGTTTGCCACAAACGCATCTACGTATTTTTATAATTATCTATACTATGTATTTTGGGACAAGATGTTAAATATACTTAAAAATGCAGGGTGAGTTACAGATACAGAAGAGTGCTTCTTAGTTTGTATAAAGAGCAACAAGCAGTTATAGAGCTGGGGCTGCAATGTAAAGAAGTAAATATTAGGAAGGGTGTCAGACAGGGATGTACACTGTCACCGCTACTTTTTAATTTATACATCGCAGACGCAATCAACATCATTATAGACAGTACAATTGTAGGGATAGATATATAGGGGCAAAATATTAGTATGCTTAGATTTGAAGATGATATAGCAGTATTAGCATCTAGCAAGGGGGAGTTAGAGATAGTTTTAATAAAATGGAAGCGGTATTGACAAAACAGTATTGTATGAAAATAAATAAAAGTAAAACTAAATACTGGAATGCAAGGGTGGAAAAGGTACGGATAATTTGGAGAAATGTCTGATGTTAGGTATCTAGGAAGTCAGATAAGTCCGGATGGAAGGAGTAGTAGGTATATAAAGGATAGCGTAGGGCGAGTGACCTTCAATAAAAAAACGTCATTTCTATGCTCGCGAATGGTTAATTCAGAAATTCGAAAAAGTTTGTTAAAGGTGTATGTTTGGAGCGCGAAACATAGACGGTGGTCGCGGCGGAAAAGAAAAGGTTACAAGCTTTCGAAATGTGGTGTTATAGGCGAACGATCAGGATACCGTGGATAGATAAGGTTAGAAATGAACACATATTAGAAATAATAGGAGAACAGAGGACTCTATGGAAGTCAATAAGAAATAGGAGAGATAGGTTGCTCCTCAGGAATGAAGGTCTAGTCAGAGACATATTAGAGGCATAAACGGGACGAGTAGAGGCAATCGTAGATTATAGTTCGCAAAATGATGCGGGATGTTCTAGTTTTAGGGAAATGCGAAGATTAGTTCAAGATAGGGAAGAGTGAAGGTGCGTGTCCAACTAGTATTAGGACTAACGACCTAATAATGAAGATCCCATGTATTTATTTACACTTGTAGCGTACTCAATGTTTAGTTAGTTTTTGGAAACCTTTGATTTAATGTTGACTGTAATTCTGTAAAACTGTCAAAATACACAAATATTGGGTTGTTCGGAAAGTCATTTCGTTTTTTCCCGACGGAGGATTTAATTGTATTCTTTTGCACCCAACTTCACATTTAAGCCGTATAATTTTTATATGCTTTGAGAGCTCATATAGCAAGGCTTGTGTGTGAAAAATTCCAATTAATTCTACGCAGTAGTTTTTGGTTGGTGCCCTTTTAAATATGGAGAGCGATAAGCAGCATTTTCGACATATCTTACTGTTTTACTACAGAAAGGGTAAAAATGCTGTTCAAGCCAGAAAGAAATTGACTGATGTGTATGGAGAAGGTGTGTTGACAGTACGCCAGTGCCAGAACTGGTTCGCTAAATTTCGATCCGGCAATTTTGATGTCGAAGATGCACCACGTTCGGGAAGGCCGGTTGAAGCTGATAAAGACGCGATAAAGGCATTAGTTGATGTGAACCGGCGAATAACAACACGTGAGATCGGATTGAGGTTAAATTTATCAAATTCAACAGTTTATGACCACTTGAAAGGCCTGGGATTATCCTCGAAGCTCGATGTATGGGTTCCCCATGTTCTCACAGAGAGAAATCTGTGTCGCCGCATTGACGTCTGCGATTCGCTTCTCAAACGTCACGAAAATGATCCGTTTTTGAAGCGCATCATCACTGGGGACGAAAAATGGGTTGTATACAACAACGTCAAACGCAAGAGGTCATGGAGCAAAAAAGATGAACCGGCTCAAACCATTTCCAAAGCCGATATTCACCAAAAAAAGGTGATGCTGTCTGTTTGGTGGGATTTTAAAGGAATCGTTTTTTTTTAGCTTTTACCGGATAACACAACGATTAATTCGGAAGTCTACTGTCATCAGCTGGACAAACTGAATGATGCACTTCAACAGAAAAGGTCAGAACTAATCAACAGGAAAGGTGTAGTGTTTCACCAAGACAACGCGAGACCTCACACAAGTTTGGTCACTCGCCAAAAGCTTTTACAGCTTGAATGGGATACAATGCTACACCCACCATATTCTCCAGACCTGGCACCATCGGATTATTATTTGTTCCGGTCACTCCAAAATTTTTTAGACGGTAAAACCTTCACCTCAAATGAGGAGGTCAAAAACCTCCTCGATCAGTTTTTTGCCAGCAAAGACCAAAAATTTTATGAGCGTGGAATTATGCTACTACCAGAAAGATGGCAAAAGGTGTTGGACCAGAACGGTCAATATATAATTTAATAAAGTATTTGTTTATTATACGAAAACTGTCTTTCATTTCCACAAAAGAAAACGAAATGACTTTCCGAACAACCATAGGTTATAACTCGTGACAACAAAATATTACTCAATATAACAAAAAGGGTTCATTTAAGGTAACGTTCAATTTTTTACATTTTTCTAAGAAGCTAATGAAATTTTTATTGTTTCGAAAGAAAGAACTCGTCACGACTTTGTAGCACAAAACTTTTAAGAATTTGTATTTCACTCTACTCTATTACAAATCTTGATTTTGTAGAAGACAATAGGTATGCATTATAAATTTCTAAAAACTTTCTAAAAGCTTTGTAGATAGGAATCATAGGAAAATTGAAACTTATCCTGCATTTTTCCCTGATATGATTTTATCAATAAGAGAGAAGGAACAAAGACAGTGAGGTACACAA